CCTCCTCTATCATCCCCTCCTCCCTCCTCTATCATCCCCTCCTTCTCCCTCCTCCTCCTCCTCTATCATCCCCTCCTCCCCCCTCATCCTCCCTCCATCCTCTATCATCCCCTCCATCCATCCTCTATCTAGCGCCCTCCTCCTATCTCGCGCACCCTCCTCCTCCTCCTCTCTTGCGCACCTTCCTCCTCCTCTCTCGCGCACCCTCCTCCTCTTCCTCTCTCGCGCACCCTCCTCCTCTTCCTCCTCCTCCTCTCTCGCGCACCTTCCTCCTCCTCCTCTCTCGCGCACCCTCTCTCTCGCGCACCCTCCTCCTCCTCCTCTCTCGCGCACCCTCCTCTCTCGCGCACCTTCCTCCTCCTCCTCTCTCGCGCACCTTCCTCCTCCGTCTCCTCTCTCGCGCACCCTCCTCCTCTCTCATGCACCCTCCTCCTCTCTCACGCACGCAGAGCGAGAACGAGAGAGAAAGAGAAAGGAGAGCGAGCGCGAAAGAGAGAGGCAGAGAAAGGCGAGCGAGCGAGAGAGGGGGGTAGAGCGGCAGAGCGAGAGCGAGAGGGGTAGAGAGAACGAGAGCAAGGCAAAGAGAATACAAAGCCTCTCCCAGCAGGTTATCAAGGATGATCACTGTCGGTAGGTCGGCAGCGGCGGCGCCCTCTGACTGCTCGACTAGTGGTCGATGTTGAACGTCGCGATGACTCCGATCGATTACCCGACCTGCATGCAACGACGTCATTATTTTTCTTGCATATTAACTTCCAGTGGTATTTATTTGAAAACTAATCCGTGATAAACCGTGACATACATGTAAACAATGCGTTTGCCCACTGCATATTCACGCAGCCTGATTGTAAATGAAAGAGCGATAGCCTGGAACCCTGTTCCACGCTGCGCACCACAGTGTAGTAAACTGAAGGGCAAATTGCCAGTTGAGTGCGAAATTAGCATCGAGTAACATGTCTCAGATTTCGACCAATCGACATGACTGTAAGATCAACACATGGTTAGACTGGTGTACGTATGACGGCTCCACTCGCAATGTTATGAGACGCTACTACGTTGCTACCGATGTGTACCAGACTACCAGTCTGTCTCTCTGCTGTCAAAGACTCAGACTGCTGTCTCTCTGCTGTCATGATATGCTGTTTATTAGCTTTTTCTGCTCAGTGGCAAACACTGATGACAACAGTATGCGCAGTTTGTGTGGCGTGTGCACGTACGTGGGTGTGCGTGCGTGCGTGCTTGATCTGCATGTTGTCTCCGACCAGGTAGCCGCACGACGTCGCCGATGCTGTAGCTGTGCACCGCGTCCGCGCTCAGACCCAGGTTAGAGACGGCATCCATGCGCAGCACATACTCCTGCCAAGAGACAATAATCAAATTTAATGAAATAATGAAATAACTAAAATTTCCACGACTGTATAGAGATATATGTACATGTGAGTTTCGTGCTATAGTTAATGCAGGAATTTGCAACAATGCCAGATACAAAATTTGCAATGATGCCATTTAAGAAACAGTTACGCTAAAAAATATTCTGCGGAAAAGGAGAAAGATTGAACACACCACAACATGTGAAATGACAATAAAAACAAAATTGCTACGATCAAACATTCTCAAAAATTCGCAATAATGCCACATATAAAGCAATTACAATTGAACATATACTGACAAATTCAAACTGACACCAATTATGAATCCGTTATGACCACAAATCAATGTACTCCAAAGACTTGGATGCTACACAATAAAGAGAGGGGTGGGAGAGCAAAGGAGAAAGAAAGAGACAGATAAGATTGAGAGAGGGAGTGAGAGGGGGTGAGAGAGAGAGGGTGGAGTGAAAGGGAGGGAGCGAGAGAGATGCACTTACATGCGCACACTTGCTTGAGTCCGTGTGCCCACCTATGTACACTGACACTGATATCCACCTTCCCTCCTTCTTGGCATCATCTCCTATAGACAATTCTGCCGACGAACAACGAAAGAATATTCCTGCCCGTTGCGGATATGTCAGTGAGGCTGAGTCGGTGGTCGACCGAGTCGAAGCTGTGTCGGTTGTTGAGCGACATCTGTGAGCCTGCGATGGAACCACCGCCGCTAGACATCGCCTTCTACAGCTTTTTGTTCTCATGCTTCAAGTTCATCATCTCATCCTGAGAGCCAGATACACACGCACGATGCGTTAGCAA